GTTCAAATATATAGACTAATTTATTTATCCGTGCTCTGTGGTCTCATCACTCACATGTCTTTGCGGCCTCCTGGATAGTGTGTCAGCCACAACCAGCTGCTTCCCAGGGACGTGTTCTGCTACCACGTTGAACTTTAAAAGGCGCATCAGGAGTCTCTGACATCTCGGAGGGGCCTTATCCAGGTCGTATGTGTTTATCAGCGGCACAAGTGGTTTGTGATCTGTTTGTAGACGGAAACTGTCCATTCCCTGAACATAGCGTGCAAATCGTTCACATGCCCACACACCTGCCAAACACTCTTTCTCGATTTGAGAGTATCTCCTCTCAGTATCAGACAGCGTGCGGGAGCAGAATGCCACTGGCTTTAAGCCGTCTTCGTGTTCTTGCAGTAGTGCTGCTCCTAATCCGTAGCTGCTCGTGTCAGCACTGATGACGGTTTTCCTGTTTGCATCATAATATGCAAGAGCTGGGGCTGACACAAGCATGTTTTTAACAGAGATAAATGCTTGTTCTTGTGCCTCATCCCATACCCACTTGTTCTCTCTCCTCAACAGGCTGGTGATTGGGTATAGTTCGGTGGAGAGGTCTGGCAGAAATCTGCCTACATAATTAATCAGGCCCAGGACCTGGCGAAGCTCCTCCACATTTGTAGGACTCTGCATCTTGGTGATGGCCTCCACCTTGGTGGGGTCTGGCTTTATGCCCTCAGCGCTGATGATGTGACCGAAGTACCGAGTCTCAGATTTGCCGAAATGGCACTTTGCTTTGTTCAGCTTCAAGCCACTGTCTTTGATGGTCTTCAAAACTGCATTCAAATGGTTGTCHTGGTCCTCCTTAGTTGCTCCATAAACGAGTATGTCGTCCATCACTACGACAACACCTTCATGTTTATTTAGCAGCAAGGATAACTGTCTCTGAAAAATTTCTGGTGCTGATGTGATTCCAAATGGCAGCCGTCTGAAGCAGAATCTGCCGATGGGGGTTATAAATGTCGTCAGCCTTCTGCTGTTTGCCTCCAGAGGAATCTGCCAAAATCCACATGAAGCATCCAATGTGGAAAACACCTTAGCTCCAGCCAGCTTTGGAGCAATATCTTCCAAAGTTGGCAGGATGAAGCGCTCTCGTTTCACTGCTTTGTTTAAGCGTTTCAGATCCACGCACACTCTTACTTGATCTCTGTTTTTCTTCTCGACAGGAACCATGGGGGCACACCAATCCGTGGGCTCTGTAACTTCTTCTATTATGCCCATGTCCAACATCCGCTTCYGTTCTTTTTCGACCTTCGCTAGAAGCGGAAATGGGATGCGGCGTGGCGTTGCCTGGCTGTAGGGCTCTGCGTCTGCTTTCAGTTCTATTTTGACAGGGTCACATTTAAGCAGGCCTATTTCCCCAAAAACATCCCCAAGGAGGTCTGTGTGTAAGTTGTTAATCCTCTTGACCAACCCCATCCTTCTAGCAACACTTCCTCAAGCAGATTGTGAGCATAAGGTCCCTTTATAACAGTGACCTGTATCTCTGTCCTTTAAACTCAGTCATGGCCAGGAATTTGCCTACACATTGAACTTCGCC